TTACCTTTGACCACTTTTACGCACCATCCCAGATTCGAACTTTGGCTCAAGTTTGGAGACAGGGCATCCTATAGTCATACATTTATCATCAACACTACTTCCATGGAGAAGAGATTATATATATCGCATTGTATTAGCCTTTATTACTAAAGACCAACCACGAGGCTTGCTTGTACGTTTGCTTTCAAAAGTTATAACCGTTAACAAACACCAGGATTTTAACACAGGACTAGCCTTTGTACTGGTCCTGGCTTCAAGAGGTTTCGTTTAAATAACCCATAAAAAGATCCCAAAGAATCTTTAAATAGAATGGACCTAAATTTAGGACTAAAAGGCGCTGTACGGGTTTTGTTTTCATTAAATTCTTCTCTTAATTCTTTAATATAATATAACAACTCGTACAGTTTCTTTAGCTGATATGCATGTATAGGTTATACGAAAAGTCAAAGTTCAACCTCTAATTATTGATCAGGCCTTCGAAGACAAAATCACAAAGGCAAATACGCTCAACGGTAAGTAACATATCCTAACATTTTCCAAACAATGCATGCCTTGACTCTGTATCGGACAAAACGATCGACCTGATTTCGATTCATGTAGGCCTAACCCCTTTTTACAGAAGGGGATCAGAAGACAGTGTTGCAAAATGACTCCTCTGGTTACGGGAAACGGTGCTCTTTCATCTTCATTCAGTCCTCGCGCCTGAATAATGAGATTTCGAGTTGATTGATCCCTCATTGTTGGCAAACTTTCAAACGAGAAGGTCAAGAAATGATGTCACAACAAACAGACCTTTGTCCCTGGCACAATAGATAAATAAAGGGGTGTTTAAGCGGGAGATACGCCCACTGAAGCCCCGTGGGAGCTTTGTATTTCTACCAATCAAACGACAAACCAAAACATGGCAACGGTGCCTAATTTAGCCCCGGCCTAACAAAGCGTCAAGACACTCTGAGGAAACGTACCAAAAGGTCTTTGCGTGGGCCACATGATGATAGTTTCCAGCCAACAATCGCCAAGAGATAAAGAAGGGTTTAATACATTTTTGATGTGTCTCATGTCAATATATGTTTCGCGCGTCTCTTCAGAAAGGAAATGCCACAGATTTCAAAGGAGTGTCGACCATAAAAGGTCACTGGATATCCCGCCAACCGGCACGACAATGGGAACACCGCGGGGTGATGTCGGAATCAGAGTAACACGAGACTGTTGTCAAATTCTTATACAGTTGACTAAGAGAGATTCACAAAGCTGTAACAGAGAAAGGAAACGCGCCATCATATCACTGCCTGCGGCATGTGATGCGCACATTTTCATTGCAACTCACAAAGCTCGATAGCAGATTGTGTTAACCGGTAAATTTGGTTAACCACAAACTCTTGCGAAGTAATAAAATGTCAATCTTTAGACCGCAGCTTTGGGTACTCATGTTTTGTTGAGGTTTCGTGTTTTGTTGAGGTTTCGAGTTTTGTTGAGGTTTCGAGTTTTGTTGAGGTTTCGTGTTTTTGTTGAGGTTTCGAATTGATCGGTGATTTTGTTTCTGCATGATGCAGTATCATATTTTGTAAATATATTTTGAAGAACAGGACTTTCATTAAATTCAGGCTTTCAACATAATGACGCAGATAACCTGCAAATTGATAAACTTCAATATAAAACAGAAATCAAACTTGAACAAACGGACTGAAGTAAAAATATTTCACCAAGAACAACACTTTCGGGAAATGAATTCCTTAGTTTTGTGTATGCCTCAGTGCATGCACAAAACAGCAGGATCATGTGTTGCTTAAGTGCAGGACAAGAGTCCATTATGACGATTTACGAAACGAACATGATTCTGGAGGTTTAGTAATTATTTTGTTCGCTCATTAAAGGTATAGCAGACTTATGACCGGCCTCGGCAGACCATGCACGATGTAGATGTCGCTGTATGGTCTGACGTTACGGTTACCGTTTGTCTTGACTATCCAAGTTTCCCGCAGAATGTTCGTGTCGATCGAGATCGTAAGTAGGTGCAGAATTCTAAAGCCTTATGGGTTATGGCCTTACTGAGGTCACCTCAAGCTCCAACCTGAAGAATATTTTTGAGAGTTTTAAGGGGATCGAAGCGTCAGCTGTAATATCAGCCGACATTTGAAGAAAGAAAAAAGTACGGACAAAAAACCTGCGTCGCCGCATCACTTTGGGGGCAACCTCCATACCAGGCATGCAACTGGCAAGTAACAAAAAAAAAGGAAATTCAAATCTTTCCAAGACTTTGTGCAGTGTTTTTCTATTTTCAATGGCACACATTGGAAGTGAAAAGAGAGGAAATCAGCTGATCCGAGGAAAAGTTGCATGCCTGCCATACCAGAAACCAAAGACATTTTTTTTTGCATTACATGCATTTTACTTTTTTTTAATACAAAATATAGCTAAAAATCAGGTGCTGCTTCACGAAAACACTCGATAGTATTCCATGTATGCGGAGCTGGGAGTACATTAACTGCTGCCAAGGAAGATCACAGTTTCATAGATTTGAAATTCAAGACATACCTAATAACGAGCTATATATGGCATACACAAAGCAGAACTGGGTTTATTTCTTGACTATTGTCAAAGATCCACCTGTCCTGTCGTTATCAATGAACTCTGGCAGAAGTTCACTTATGATGGGAATTTCATTCGGATGATGTGCAGATGAATATCAGCACGTTAGCCCTTGCAGCTTGGCGTAGTCTGATAGGCCTACATGCAAGTTTGTGTATTACTTTTATAATAGTGATTTTTCTAACAGGAAAATCATTCTGTCATTGCAAGCTGACCATAATGTTTGATATTGCTATATCACTTAATACAACATACAACAGCACACGTGCATTGGTGATTGATATAAATATACATCTGAACCACTCAACTTAGACAATAAAACTGAAAGTACATGCATTATGAAATAACCTGTACTGACCCACAAAGACAGTTAAGTGCCGAGTTGTTTGGGAAAATGCTGTCCAAAAAAAGAAGAAGTTATATTACGCACAATTACTATTACATATAATTTATTGTTTTAAATTACATTTGCATGAATTTAATGTACAGGGTGAGCAAAATAAAAAAGGGAAACCAAAATGGCAGGACCAATTTTTTATGAAGTTCTGCATGTAGCACTATCAAAATCAAGGATAAGAAAGCCCTATTAATAAGCTTTCTTTTGGTACAAGAATCATTCAAATCACTCATGTACTTTGAAGTTACGGAATTTTAAAAAACACAACCACCGTTTTAAAGTTCTGTCCACGGATCACAAAAAGGTAAGTGTTTTTCAGCAAAACGAAAACAATTCACATAGGGATGTGTGTAAATTGTTTCGTTTTGCTGAAAGAACACACACCTTTTTTTGACTCATCCTGTATATATTTGGCAGTCCCTTTTATTTTGTAAACTGTATTTCATTATTAAACATTGGGCCAAAGGGCCCGTAAAAGGACGACGACCGTAGCATGAAACAAACATTGTTTCTCAGCGCAAGCCTATACGGCTTCAATTGACGCAGTTTTCTTGCTTCCACAAACACCTCATTAAATAGTTCCGTTTTGTTGACTCGCACAAAACTGTTATTACCCTGGCCTTTTAATTTTTAATAGGTTAGACCGCTGAAATCGATTTCGGCGTAATTATGATGTAACGAATTTCCTGCTGTCAAGGTGCTAAAGTCGATGGTCATACATGTTATAGTACATCATAGTGATTTCAAGAAAAGGCATTTAAAAGTGCAATTGCTGACATGACGTCACTGCATATACGTCTAATATCTGACGTAATCATGCTCCATGTACTTCCATACATGTGTAAGAAAACCTAAATTGAAAAGAAAAAGTTAATCGTGACATTGTGATAATCTCTTGATATAATAGTTCCGCACTTTGGGTTAGTTCTAGCGGGGATAAAGAGCGAGTCGGAATGATCTGGACCCAAATTAAAATAAACATTTAAAAATATGTAGCAATTATCAAAACAAGTGCAAATGGCATGTTATAGGCTGGTATTTTGGACAGTTTGGTAAAAGTTTATGTATATCCATTGTACCATTTTGAAGAAAAGCGCTAGCAAAGAACACACTCTGACCACGGTTCCATCGTTCAACAAATTTATTGAAATCGCATGCTGATGTGAAGCAGTGCAATAACTCGCTCATGGTGACTGACTAACTTGAAGTTATTGACACATAAAAAAAATTAAAACCAATTCCGTGTGCAGACTGGAAAATGAGCCACTTCAATGAAAATGGCATAACTCCTCACCACAGTCACTAATTTAAAAAAATTCAAATTTCCTGTGGAAGACAAGGTAATATATTTTCTCAATGTACTCTAGTCTATTTGAGTACCAAAAAATGGTGAACTTGGGTCCAGATCATTCCGACTCACCATGTAGACTATATAGTTCAGCAAGTGCGGATTTGGGGCGGGTCCTCCTCTCAACCCCAGAGCTTACGACCCCTGATACTGATACAGTAGCATGTATACGCTCTGGTAAGCTTTTCGCAACCACAAGATCCGAACAATCGTAAGGTCAAGTAGTTTGCTATACATGTTAAATATTTCAAGAGAAATGGATTAAAAAAGACCACGCTGTAACACCTCATGAGGCCTCCAGGCGTTTGCTCACATTGATTAACGGTGTGGTGTAGGCTACATAATGTAATGCGGAGCACGATATCACCACGGGGACTTAGCACTATTATATCGACTTCGAACAATTTGACAGAATTAATTACCTGCCATCAAAATATTGTCGGTCGACTGATCATTCGAAATCGAAGCAGTAGAAGTTTAAGGACAACGGCATTCAAGGTTTAATGCAAATACACATTAGATAATCAAACACAATTTTAAAGATATCATTCCCTTTGTTCAAATTTTTTGACTTGTTTTGACTGTTTGACACAAAAAGCTATTTATGAATGGGAATAAATGTTTAAACACTATGTTTAAGACCGGTTTGGAGTCTGGACGCTCGTCTTCAGCTCGGATCATTATCAGCGTCCAGACTCCAAACTGGTCTCAAACAAAGTGTTTAAAACTGGCCAAACACACATCTATTCCTTTATTAACATACTGCAGGAGATCCCGATCTGGTACGATCGGAAGTGCAACTTCCATTTCTCAGAGCTTTCCCAGAACAGAGTCGATGTTTCGGATTGTATGACTGGTCCTCCGCAGCGCGTCCCTTACAAAGTCCGGGGTTGGGTCCGCAAGGGAAGATCCATCTTCAGTCGGTTGAAGCGAACTCCAGCTTGCTACACCTGTCATCATTTGAGTATCCTTGGTCAAAGGACCGATGGTTCGATTGATGGCTTTAGTCTCTTGGGTTTGCTGTCCACCACCAGGCGATAGGCTGTGTTCAAGAATATCTGGGATAATTTCAAGTCAAGGAAAGCAAGCGAGGAAATTGCTTCCTAACAAAAATCTAACAATAAAGAATGTCTTGGCATTTCACTTTAAAGTACCTGTATCCATTCACGTTGACGTCAACATTTTCTGATTTCAATCGCCTATTTCAAAAACACAACAGAAAACACTACACCAAAATGTGACGTCATGACCTTTACATTATATTGGTAAAAGTTCAGGTTTCTTTGTTGTTGATTTTTGCTTTTAAAACTGATTTGCGCTTTAAATAACGTGGTGTCTATAATGCCAGATTTGAAACTTTACGAAATACTACAGGCTACACGTCATCTTAAATCGTCTCTGCGTCAAAGTGCGAGGTGACTTCATAATGTACAATTTATCTCTCCAGTGACCTTCAATCAACTCAGCCATTGTAAAAATGTGTGGGATTGTTTCACGACACACACAAAAAACCAAGACGTGTTGCACAATAGTGACAATACATTATTTGATAAAGATACCTGCCCGAATACGCAAACAGCGAACTTGCGTGGGTTGATCTATACAGATCCCTTTTACGGCAAGCACAATAATCGTGCGTCTCTCTTGTGACATTAAGCATTGTGGAGAGCCAGCTAACACGACAGATTCGCAGTTTTGATATTTAAAAATGGGAACACTGATAAATTGGGGGAAAGGAGAAACTGAGAAAGAGCAGCACTGATTGTCTATCGGTTGATCGGCTTCTGATTTCGCGACTTCAGATTTCGCGTTCGCCTTGGAAGTGCTTAGCCATGGTAATTCTTGGTCAAATCGCCCACGTACAGTCCCCGGTTGTACCTTTTTTTGCCCTTCCAAACTTCATTTCGCAGGTGTTTGAGTTTAAAAATCATCTCAGGGGAAGATAATCATCTGAGTCGAGAGCAAAACAAGACGCGAATGCTAAGATTTGAGGGATGAGACCTTGCTTGCCGTCTTATAGCCAGACATCAAGAGTTTCTTGCGTGTGTGAGTCGTGGGAAGTTTATCAAACTCGAGTCAAGGTGTGAACAAACTACCGGTGCTCATCAATGCATCAATCAAAGTTGGAATTTTGTTTAAAGTAAATTGAGTAGTATACGTTTAATTGCGTTACAATTCAAAGCGAATCAAAGTTGGATTTTGGTTTCAAGTAAATGAAGTAGTATACGTTACAATGCAAAGGGAATCATTCTCGAAGAGTCTTAGAAAAAACGATATTATTCGAGTTACTCAGAAGATGAAGCACGAGCATTTACCTTTCGTTGAAAGTATAAACAAAATCATTACAGGTGACCATTAGGAATATCATAGTTGTTAGGTCTATACCATAGCAACATACCTAGCAAGTAACACAAGAAGCCAGGGGAAAAGTATAGATACGGGATAACTAGTCACAACTGCAGATTAAAATGTGGCATTTCTTATTTTTTTTCCTACAGTTGAGTCCCTGCATGGATGATCACATTGGAAAGAGGTTATATGGCAATGTCATGAACCGTGCCAGTTTTATCACTTGTTCTCGCGCCTCGAGTAGGTTTGTCTTTGTACCACGTGGTGCAAGGGTAACACAATGAGTTGTTGCAATACAGCAACATAGATTTAATATATGAATATGCTCCATGTGCTGAACAAGTAACCTCATGAAAACTACCCCCCCCAAAAAAAAAAAATTAGATTAGGCCTAGTCGCCTTCATTTTTTTTTGGGGGGGGGGTAGAAAGTGGGCATGGTGCCATTGGTTTTCAGTACATCTCACAGGAGAAACAAGTAAATCAACAACCAGAACACTTAGTTCTGTACAATGGTATTCTGCGTTTAAGAGATGTATACGTAATTTTAAAATTGAGTTTTAGCACCCAATTACCCTAATACTAAACACCACGCAATATTAAACACACAAGTATACTTATGAGAACTACAACGCCAACCATGTTGTAAATGTTCCATCATCTCTAATTTGAAAATAATGCGCTCAAAGTGTATGAATATATTTTGTAAAACCAGTATGCCTTAATATCTAAAACTATGTACTTATGCCTGGTCGTGTAATGTGATCTCAATGAGACGTGCATGGTAAAAATAATAAAGAATGAATGAATGAATGAATGAAAAATGTTCAGCAAATTAAGGCATTCAATATTGGTGATGCTTGTTAATAGAGCCAGACTTTGTGGGTACGTACCCACATGTTTCAACAGACAACTCTGACGGGTTGGGAATTTGCAAGTGCAGCAGTTTATCATGTCACGAACGACGTACACAATGGGGCATCTGTGCAGCTGAGCAAACAGAGGAATCGAACAGGAATTTGTGAGATGATGGGGACGAGTTGATGATGTTACAATCAGGAGAGTTCATTATGGACAAGCATAGCCCATAATGTACACGTACACTAAATAAGAGTTTATACGTGTATACAGGGCGAGTCAACAAAAAACCGAAACCCAAATGTCGGGACTTGTGTTTTAGTGAAGTTCTGCATGTAGCGCTTCCAAAATCTAGGATATGGAAGCCCAATACATAAGCTTTCTTTTAGTACAAGAATTATTTGAATCACTCATGTACTTTTGAAGTTACGGAATTTTAAACACAACCACCGTTTTAAAGTTCTGTCCACGGATCACCAAAAAGGTGTGCGTTTTTTCAGCAAAACGAAAACAATTCACACGAATCCCTGTGTGATTTGTTTTCGTTTTGCTGAAAGAACACTTACCTTCTGTTGATCCGTGGACAGAATTATAAAAACGGTGGTTGTGTTTAAAATTCCGTAAAATCAAAATTACATGAGTGATTTGAATGATTCTTATACTAAAAGAAAGCTTATGAATTGGGCCTTTATATCCTAGATTTTGGAAGTGCTACATGCAGAACTTCATTTTTAAACAATGGTACCGACATTTGGGTTTCGTTGTTTGTTTGTTATTGACTCACTCTGTATTTGGTTGTTAGAAAAACATGCAGTTTCAGTGATATTCTTAAATAATATTTATATCAATATTGTATCGACAATATTTGTAAATAGAGTGAAACAAACGTGGAACTAGAGGTTTGGACAATTTTGTTGCTACAAATCCAGGGTGATTGGCCGCATTGTGTGTTGTTTCAGTTCAGTTTTTTTTTGTCCTTTGACCAAAAGCACTGATAATATCTTATTTTCCTCAAATTACAAGATTTATTTGCATGTATCGATTGACATTTAACATCCGGTTTCGATGACGTCACAGCATTCGGACACCTAACATCAGTAAATGATGTCAGCATTTATGCCGCAATTATCACTACTGGGCACTGAATGAGTGTGTAAAGAAAAATTATGAAAAGCAAAAAAAATAGAGTTTGATCGCTGTTACTCTAGGCCTACTGTGTTGCTAACACTGCCTCACCAAAATAATGTGGGCCATTTATGGAAGACGAGCTTTTTCTATGCGCATTTCCGGTGCTGTACATAAAACGGAATCAGGTAGGGAACGGAATTAGGTAGGGACTGCAAACCCAATCCACATGTTGGCCCAGGCGGGATTCGAACCCGGGTCACAGTGGTGGAAGGCGAGGAAAGTTCCGCTACACCAACCTGCTTGGTGAGATCGGTGTTTTCGGAACATTTTCCGAACAGCCTTTGTTTTCACAGAATAGGTCCGATTGGGTTTGTGTTTGTCCAAGTTACAAACGCAATGTCTTGTTGTTGTTTTTTGGTTGGTTGAGTTTCACTTGCTATGTCATAGCAGGAACGTTTTCATCGATATGCATTATAGCCTAACAGCGCAACATTTTTCCTTTTCTCACTTATTTAAGGCTCTTTATTTTTGTGACAAATATTTGGAGAAAAATAGGAGGGAAAATTCCCGTCCAATTATGAACACGTGGGCGGCATTGGCTGATTAAAAATTAGTCATTGCTATCTTTCTTTGAAGCAGGAAAAAACATCGCCTTATAGAAAACTGAAAAATTATCGCGTGCGCAAAACTAATGAGGCATTGTGTACCAAATTGCGAAACGAATGACGTTATGACATTGGCGAAATGACACTCATTCTTTACGGATATAACTGTTATAATGACGTAAATTAAAACGCGGTTCGCCATGTTTTGGCCTGTTAGCGCGCTATACATGTACCTTGTAATCAACAAGCACACCTGGGTCCACTGTTGTGCATAGCGGATGTACTCGGGGTGTCGTGTTTGCGACAAAAACAGGAAAAAAACAAGCATACCTAACAGCCTTCACCCTTGAAAAGGTGTCTTACGTGTAATGCAAAGACTTTATACATTAATTTGCACCAGTGCAACTGTGGCCTATGGATCTTAGCGTTTCAATGTGTAATTTAATCTTTCAGAATTTCGGTTATTTCAGAAGGGTTTGGGTAAACTCTTAGCCTATGGTTTACACTTTATATTACTACGAAGCGACTTCCTGGAGCTGCTAAGCACTTCTAATTTATCATATTAATTGTATCGCGACTTCCAGTTTTAATGGACCAGCAATTTCGACAAATTTCGATCGGCACGGCGATTTCCAAAAACTCCTGGCTGCATGCTGAAAGCAATTGCTGCACGAGAAACATATTAAATGGTGGAAAAAAATTACCATTTTTTTTGTACTTATATTTTTCTCTGCCTATACATGTACCAGCCACGCCATAGAGAAAAGCCATAATAATGCGTGGGCAAATTTACATCACACTTTGGTCTGACTGAAAACAATTAGCCCTTAAATTGCTTTCTCTATAACGCACCGGGCTAAAAAAAAAAAAAAAAAGTGCATGTAGGGCTTCGTTGATAACAATTCCGTAACAATCACTCGCGGAATTTGAATCAATATGCTTATACTTCTACAGACTTGCCAAGGATTTTCCTTGAACTATAGTGTTGAATTTGTCGATGACGTGAGCTTAAACCCAGCGTTATCCATCTTCACACTCGCATTCGAGGAAAAATAAAGAGCGTGTATAATAACACGCCGATGGTGCAGTTTGTCGTCCTAAATTTTGAAGTTTTTTTTTCTCTCTATTTTGATTGGGACGCCAACCACGGATAAACAAGGATTAATGAGCCTATCAAACTAAGAAGGTATCATGTTTCTAAACAAAGGTGATGTGTAGCATATTTGGCACGACATAATTATAACTACAATGTACCCTATAGGCGAGCGAAAAGAAAGTGATCCGCTGATCGCGTAGGAAAAAAATGTTAAATAAAAATGTGTGTCTTGCTCCGTTTCATAAAAATAGCATAGGAACGTGTACATGTTACTGACTATTAACTGTGAAAATTTCACGTAATATGCATACTCCATTCAAAAAGTTATTCCCATTTGAACAGAAATACGTGTAACCCGAAATTCAGCTGGCCACCACTGATCACTTACCGATTCGCATTGACGAATACCTTTAAGCTTTAAATACAATGAACCATGGACATGATATGAATGAACAAAAACTTGCAAAGGAAAACAGACTCGGAGTCAATGGCGGATCCAGAGCACAATTTTAATTTTTTTTGGGGGGGGGGCGGGTTCGTTTTCAGTTCTAGATGCTCTGTGGTGCGATCTGAGGCAATTTCTCACCACTTGAACCAAAATAATGTGCGTGCGGAAAAGATGGCGGTGTGCGCAGTGCCTGCCTTTATTGCGACATCACTTGAAATCAAAATTTGACAGTAAAAATGATTTTTAGTCTCGACGGCTCAAATTATTAAAATCTTATTTTGTATTTGAATGCCTGTGCGTAATCTCTGGTTCTCACTCAGCTGGATAGCTTCCAAGCATTTAGCATTCTATGGACAGCTGTGAAAATGGGTTATTTCAGTATGACATCTGATAGCATGGATCCATTTCAGAAATTCTTTTTTTTTTTCAGGAGCGGAAATAACATACATGTACACAAAAACAAGCACGTGTGAAACGAGTATCAAATGGTATTGCTTTAGAAGGGGAACAAACAGATCCAGGTCATTTTCTTTTTGACTCACCCTATATAAATATATGCATTAGTAAATTTAAAACATTTGTGGCTGCTGACTTGGTTTTGTTAACCCAGAATATATAAAAAAATTAACAAAATAATTAATACATAAAAATGTAGCTACTTTAATATAGTAGCTCACATTTACGATCACCTAAAGAGGGCGCAATACATGTACATGTAACACACATTCTTGTTCAGTAACTGTGGGGACTACACACGAGTTGTCCCCATGGCGCTATGGGGACCGAAGACGCTACGGGGACAGCAGAAAGTCCCCATATAACTGGGTCCTAATTTGCCTAACAATAAAAACTTCCCCATATAAACACGGGGATGGCCCGCCCACACTTACCATACAAGAATCTGAAGACAGCATTACATTTCCTATACATGTACAATGAAATAACTGTACAATACTCGCAAAGGGATGCACGTGTACATTACGTTTGCTGTAGTGGCGGCAGAAGTAGCTTGACGATTTAAAGGATACATTCGAAGCATTTAATTTTCTGCAGCTCGGTTTGAACAGCACTGGAGAAAGAACAGAAAAGGTCCAGATTATGGTCTTTGTAGGTAAAAAAAACCCTTACAATTTGCGATGAGTTACAACTGCATGTACATTGTAATTGTATGTATCTACTGAAATTTGATTGATGAAATAGAAAAATGAGCAATTAGGTGGTTTTTGATGGGATAGAATGGGGCGGGGCCAAAAGAAAGGGATGGGAGGTGATTGGATGGGATGGGATGATAGGACAGAATCATAAAAAGCACCGAGAAAGATTCGTCATTATACTCTCCTTGTATATTATAACTACTTTCGAGATATTAAATATATTACCCATCTTGGTGGGAGGAGTCTGACTCGAGAAACTTGTAGAAGTTAACTCTTTCCTCTGGAGAGCTTGCCACCCATGTAGCCCATTCTACTGCCACCATGACATACCTGAAAATAAGGGTTGGGCAATGAAAACGATGCTCTTCAAAGGTAAAAGTAGCGGATCTAGACGGGGGTGGCAATCCCCCGTTCAGCCTCTGACTAATGTTATAAAACTTGACTAACAAAATAAAGCCAAAAATATTTTTCGAAAAGGGAATGCGAAAGTTTCTAAAACTATTCTGGAATTGCCTTAGAATGCAGGAAACATCATTGTAGATTTCAAAATTTTCTGAGGAGCACGCTCCCAGTCCCAGACCCCCAAGTTCCTGAAAGCTAGATCCGCCCTTGAACAACCTTTTCAAATTTACTGAACAGAATTTGTACAGCCGTGAAGCTAGACTGTTGATAAAGGCGTGATGCCAAAGAACTTAATAAAGGTGGATGATTACAAAGAGCTATTACTTTTTGCATTTACTGCTTTTACAAATATTGCCAAGGGAAGTTTATTCCTGATAATATCCAGGATTCCAACCACCAATATCAAAGTCACCCACCTCTGGTATTCTTGTGGATTCTCAAGAGCAACAAGTATGTGTTGTCCATTTGGAAGCAAAAGCTGACACACACCCTTCTGAAGACTGGACTTAAAAATAGACTTCCTTATCCTTGGAACTTGAGCTGCATGTTTAACTGGCAGATTCTAAGGAAATGCAATAAAAGAAGGAAGGACAAGATATTAATTATGCTCCATATATAATTGCTTGCCACACATCATTGCCCATTAAAAACGTGACTTGAAGTTGAGAAGAACAAAAGGAAATTTAGTAATGTGACCAGTAATATTAGTACATTGTTGGCTTGTAATAGGTATTAGTTCAAAGTCAGCCACTAGTCCGCAATGACTGATTGATAGAAACTAGCCAGAAGTTCCTAATAATTATTTATAGGATTGGTCGATCTAACGTCATATCTGAGCAGAAGTCAAAAGATTGCATATATCAGCATTAGAATCAACATCAAAGCAATATACCTGCCGACTGTCTTGTTTATTTTCTTCAACCCGACTTCTGAAGTCCCATTCCATGTCAAGAGTGGTTCGATCATTGAACACCACCCGGACCCTTCCGTTCGAGAAGGCAACAAAATTGCCGAGTCCTTCCACTTTGCTCTCCTCAATGATAACAGTTGGGTTTGGACTTGTGACAGGACAGGAGCGAGACTTTTCCTTGAAGTAAGAAATAGTGGAACACAAAAGGTTACTGAACCAAACATTGAAGGAAATTTCAGTTGAATTCATAAGATGAAACTAAAGGGAAAAGACTGCCCTGAAACCACTTCAGAATAATGTCTTAAAGAGATGACAAGTTTTCATCACCTTCCAACAGCATTTTTCTTCTCTCTGGAATGGAGACAAACCCAAATCTGCTTGCATCATATTTTGCAAGAGCCTACAGGAAAATATGGAAAGAACACATAAAAGCATACAACATATGCAGGTTAATTGTTACATATGGTACAAACTAACTCCTTCCCCTCCCCTACCCCTCCCATAAAATTACTGAAAAACTAAACTGAAAAAAAACTTTCAAAACTGAAAAACTAAAGAGAAACACCCAAACGAAACATACCGTAACACATCACAGATTGTTACATAGAAAACTTATTACAATGTACATGTATGCAAACAAATATTTTAACTTTGCATTAAATGAGAAGAATTTTACTTTCCTAGAGGCTTTCCTTAAGACTCCTGCCATTGAGTACTTGGCTCCAGGACAATCCGGAGGCAGACTCCTTACACACAGCATTCTTTCCTCAAGAATTCCATCATGCGGGATAATGTGCTTGAAGAAACCACCATTCCCAGCAGTAGACTTAATAAGGGTGCCATCCCCTGGGTAAATGTGGACTGCTGGATGATGACTCCTTGACAATCTGGGGTTCAGTTGAAGAAATATAGGGCGAGCTCTTGAAAATGTATGCAACCCAAACTTAATCCAAAAACTTTATTTTAGACGGTTTACTCATCAAGGCTTTAAGAAATTTACTTTACTGAAGTAACTACATTTACATATGTTAATGATTTATCAAGGGACTATCTATGGCTGCTCATTAATGAGTTTGAATAGGTTGATATTAAGTTGGTATTGGCCTATTAGACATACCTGTAAATGATTCCATTTGAAAACCACACTTTAATACTTTGGCCAACAGGAACATCTTCTTCCACGATGTCTACTCCTCTGGCCCCAGCATCCTTCCTCCACTTATGGCGGTGGCTGTCCCCACAGGTAAGTGGCAGTGGAGCAGGCAGTGTTGAAGCAACAACATCAGTCACAGACTCTTGTTGAGTTTTAGAAGTCTTGTCAATGCATTCAGTTTCAGAGTTCACTATCTTCTTGTTCAAATTGAGATCTCTAAGAACTTTGCTCGTCAAACAAATTTTATCTTGGGAGGTCCTGGTGTTCATATCTGACACTGCACTCCCTTCAAAGGACTTGTTTGTTTCATTTTTTGGAGAAAGGGTACAAGTGTGCTGTTTGGGGTCAAAGTTTAAAGCCAAATGTAATGGATGTTTCCAGAACTCCGGATACTGTTCAACAGTGTGATGCTGAATGACCCATGTATAGCCATGTTTTATAGCAATAATCTCTTCGATCTCTGGATTTTGGCTCAAATGATCTTGGGAGGTGCAACTCACCTCATGAGCACCAGCTGTACATTTTTCATCCACTGATGGCTGACTTTGATTCTCAGGGGTTTCAGATTTTCTCAGTGAATTTTTTCTGTGAATTAGAGTCTGTAAGTAAGGGCTGTCCTGATGGGACAGCTTTAAAGAGCTGCTTACAGCTGTCCTGTTCACGTCTGACTGCAAGTCAGTTGATAGCCTTCCAACAGCATCTGTTTCTCTCTCAGATTTTTTGTTAAGCTTCCCATGCTTTTTTGCAGTCCTCTTTGGAAATTCTTTTCGACTCAACTTACAGAGAAACTCAACAGTGAATTCCTCTTTATTTTCTGACAGCAACAGCGAAGCACACTCGTCGACAGAAGTTACTTTGACGGAACCATCTGGTTGTCTTCCCCCAGGCAGCTTCTCTGTGGATTTTGGCCACTTTACGGCCTTGATATCTGCAAAAAGTTGCTGAAATAAAAAAAGCCACATGAATCATTGAATACAGCCATCAAAGTCGTAAGTGTCAAAATGCTCGTATTTTTAATTCTTGAAGAATATTTACCAGTGTTGCACCATCAGGTAAAAACTGATGGCAGAGATACGGCTGTTCAGCAAAGCGGTTCCGACATTCAAGTGCCTGACAGACTTTATCTTTGAATTCACTTGTGGTAAACTCCGTTCTCTGCTGAATCCTTGTTCCTCCATCTAGAGGATGCTGCCCTCTTTTGGCAGCTCTTTGACACACAAAGCTTGCTCCGCAAGGAGACAGCTCTAGCTTTGTGCTGTCAGAGAACGACAGCTCAGTTGCATCATTTGTGAAGATTATTACACTGGTTACTGCTGCAGGAGGCTGGGTAGTCATGTTTCATCTAAAAATTAAAATTCTAAAAATTCACAAGTCAATTTGCATATTTTTTTCACAAATTTTGTGCAAATAGGATTTACCACCCCCCCCCCCTCCCTCGCACCCACTGGCCACTTAATATTTCAAATACAGCGTTGAAGAGTTATCAAGCTGTTTGTGACCGCCGCGCCGACGCAGCACGAAAGCAGGAAATACAATGCCCGAAATTGAATTTTGCGAAGTGCCTGGACATGCTGGATGGGATGACCGACCAATTTCAATCAATTTAACCTGTCTGCCCGTGCCTCTTTGGTGCATTAACTTACCTTATTACAGTTCTAAAATATACAGATTGACTGAGTACTCTTAATTTGTGGTAAAGTATGTCGAAAAATAAGTGAATTTGGGTATCACAATATCGAACTCGTCTGCATTTGTTTCGGACTTTTTAGCAGACGAAAACCTACGTCAAAATAACGCGCCACTTTGATAGGAAAAAGGCACCCGTGACCATTCATCACGCCTTGAGTACTGGCAGCGTCTGGGAGCCCGACTAAATGCGTGACCTTTGAACTTATGGTCAGAATAGTCTGATCCCTCACCTCCGCCCATTTTGCGTAAACCAACGTTGAAATATAGGAACTGGCACGGAAGATGAGGCGGTAACTAGACTACTCTCCGGACTTTCTGGAAAAGCCGAAGATCGCATGTAAACATTGATACAAAATATCGGTATTTTCAAGGATTGGCTGCAGTTTTTCAACAAGTTTTATTCTTAATTATACTAAACAGAGTTTATTTCACAATATCGTGAACGTTTTAATGTTGATTGAACTCTTGATATAGAAGAAATTGCCTTGTAAACTGAAGTGTTTTCGCTGAGTTGAGTTTTGATTTGAATGTTCAACGTGCGTAATGGCTGCATGATGAGTGAAATTTAATACAACGATGATCGGATGACGCAGGTTGAACATGGCTGAAATTTATCGGGATCCGTGAGCGTTAGAATTTCTTTCTTGTCAAAATTAAGTACCGGATCAGTCCAATTATCAGAGGCATGATGGAGGAGCAAGGTCTTTATTCCCGGATCAATGAAAATGAAAGGTAAAAACATTGCATTTGCTGATAAAATTTCAATATGAATCTGTCTGTTTTATTTAGCAGTTTTGCCTAACTTCATGAATTTTGTACTCGTTTTTTGGGTCTACTTTTTTAACAGAATGTTAGGCCTATATCCTTGTTCGCTATAGACTGCTATATCGGGGGGAGTGACGCTATTCGATGAATTCATTTGCAGAACACACCAATTGTCATCGTTTGCTATGCGGCATGTACATTTGTACAGGGTATGGCCGATAGGCTATATATGTTACCATTCAATTCAGCATTCCAGACTCAAGAACCATTGAGTTTCAAAAACATTAGGTCTGGGAGCTAGATAAGCAAATCTCAAAAATATCTCAAATCTCAAAATATTCAAAGAAATGTGTTAATTTTGAAGTGTTGTTATTCAAACACGGTAAAATAACTACAGATTATTTTTTTTTTGGTAGGCCTAACATTGAATTTGAACCATAATTCTATTCTTACTTCCCCAGCCATCGGCAGCACCAAGAGCTTATGTGGGGACTCAAATTCACGGTTGAGGGGCTGCTGGCAGCGCATACCACCAATGTGTGGTCGACGTATGGTGGACTAACAAGACTGTGCAATCAAATAGACAAAGTCATGCGTCATCGTCTCAAACATCCAAAGGGAGCTGTGAGTTAGACAAGATACTTTTTAAAGTTTCAAAAGTTTCTGAGACATGCTTGAGTAATGCTAACACTGTTAACAGTAATACTACAAGTACAACTACAGGATTTGAAATTCTGCGCAAACTTCCAGTTTTTATGAAAACAAATTGTGATTTGCCCAAAAATCATTGAAAAAAAATATTACTTTGATATTTTACCAATGTCTTATATGATGTTAATTGGGTTAGTGTGTATATGACAAAACTCTTTTTTTTGTTTTTTTAGCTGTTTCAATTTTGTCTTTATTCTGATTTTTAGCAGTACACATCGGATGGAGACTATTGGGACTTTGTCATGGGACTGCGTCGTCTCCAGCCAGTTTTGGCTCCCTCTGTTGACCGTTTGCAACGCCGTTCCACAGAGCAGGGGATGGAGGCAGGAGGCTTGTGGGTACACACGAGTCTGGAGTCCCATACCCTAGCCAGCCAGTTGAGGCTCTTAGTGGACGACAGGGAGCATCTGAGCAGATACTACCATGGTGAGTAGATGAAGTCTTGGTTCCTAGACGATTTGGGGTTCGTTCCGCTAATGCCACTGGTCCTGATCCTTTCAGGCATGCTCAAGCTGCCTCAAGTGGTGGTAGTGGGTGCCTTCATCATCATCATTCTCTGTATCCGACTGTGGGATGTAGAACCATCCAGGTGCGACGATCTGTAGATGAGCTGCCACAGCTACTGTTTGTTAGCCCCGTGTTCTACCTCGAGCTGATGTATCCAGGTGTTGCAAGGTCAGCCTCTGTAGCAGGTTGGATTAGGTCGGGCGCCTCCAAGCATGTTGGTGTATAGCTTGAAAGCAGCATGTGCGGGCACGTCTTCTGGGAGCCTTCGGATATACTTGAAGAGGGAGGGACATCTCTGAGCAATGAAGTCATGCCATCGGACTCAATCAACAGGATGAATCAAATTCAGTCTTTATAAATTTGGCACACAGACCTTAGAAATTCTAAGCATACACTGTACCTTTGTACTTCACGTGTGAGGTACGCTCGGAATTTCTTGGGTCTGAGTGTCAAAATTCCCAAGACGAGATTTGATTTATCATGATAGCGCCCTCTACTGCTAGGTCCGCTCGTGATGACTAGGGATCATGACTGGTCCCTTTAGGTGAACAAAATTGGACCAAGACAACCAGTTGGGTACCTTATTATCTTCCAACCAGATGGATAGAATCAAAAAAATTTTACTTCTTGCTCTTACCTCATTTCTCTTTCTTTTTGAACCAGACGATGCTTTTCTGTGCAGCGAAGCCCACTTCAAGGCACTGTACATCTGCCTGCAATCTGTGGAGCAGAACAACGCCTCACTGCTGGCAGACTTGGATCCAATGCTTGTAAGTCAATCAAAGTCTTTATTTATTCCCAAACAATTGTATTTTGCTGAATGTACATGTAATTTTGCTGCATTTTTGAAAGATTCATGTTGTCAAACCTGTGCATTAAGCTGAATGACAAAAAAATATGAGAATGTGTGCAAATATGAGAATGTCTGCCAATTTGAATAAAATTAAAAAAACATATTAGACTATGATTCTGCCCCAAAATCGCCTTTCCCATTTAAAAGATTAACGTTGACTTTTAATTTCTGGTGCGTGTACATATGATTGGATGATGTGTTCGGTTGATTTGCATTGTAGACTAAGAATGTAACAATGATACTTTTTGTGTTGTGTGCAGGCATGCAACTTAATCTTGGGTCAGCAGATTTCCTTCTTTTTTTTCACTTCACACTTATGCCATTATAAATTGAAAAACACTGTACAAAGTCTTGTAAAGATTGGAGTTTCCTCTTTTTTTGTTACTTCCAAGTTTAAAGTTGTGGGGTTCTGATAATTATTACAGGGTTCTACTGCAAGAATATTATTATACTATATTTTTTTAACAAAAATTATAACAAAATTGATTAATCGCTCTTGAAACACATTATTCCCTACTTTCAATGAAACAGCTTTCTTGTCTTTATTGTCATGTGGTAAGTTCTTGCAGAATTGGTTTTTTGTTTAGCTATATGTAGCTTTAAGTAAATTGTGGCATTGGTGTGTTAAGCAGTTCACAGTATTAGCATTTTTCTTTTAAAATATCATTGTGATAATTGTGATAGTAATAAAGGGATTTTTGAGATGAACAAATGTACACAAATGAACATCTGTGTATGTACTTAAAGGAACTGTTGGATTTCCTGATTTTTGTCAAGAATAGCAAACTTTCCCCTAAATTTTACATAAGAAAGCCCCTACTATTTTTAACATGAGCTAATTCAACAGACTACATTTTATAGTATGGCATTATCAGACATGTAAGATAAATAAACCAGCTTTAATATGATAGAGCAAATTTCTGTCTTTCAGTTTCACAAAAGCTAACTTTATCCATGTAACTGATTTACGTCACAATTTTGAACTTTTACTTTTGATATGAAACTGGTGAGATGATGTAATATTGCAAGTGCTGTTTCCCGATATAGCAAAACAAAATATCAAACTGACTCTTTCAATTTAGGGTGGAGGTTTTGTTTTTATTTTTTTTCCCCTCTTTGCTTCAATTGTTGCTGTAATTAAATCAATGAATCGTAATGACTCTGTCGAGAGTCCCTTTAAAGTTAACAAAGAATAATCATTGAAACATCTGGGAAAGTCATTGCTTCTATGTGAAAGTAAGTGAGGCAGAACCATTGACCTTGCTTGTTGAGTGTTAATCAACATACAATGGATGACGTTATGATTTTAGTTTATATGTACCCTCTTTAACTGTGGTGTGTTGTCGAACGGATATACTTTCAGGTCGGTGTTTGTGCAAGTAGATTAGGTCATTATGTTGTTGGAAGTTGTTGAAAATATAGTGAAGCAGTGAAAAAGTTGTTTCGGGAATTCAAATTGTATGCGCACGTTTCAGTGTTTGTCCTTGAACTTGCATGAATGAATTGACCATGTGATTATTGTGAAACTTGGTTCATCATCAAGTGATTAAGTCACGTACAGTATGAAGTCTGCATTTGACATTGTCATGAACTTTGATTTGTTTTGGCTTTGCATGTTATAAACAAGCTGTTGCTTTCCTGTGTTTGGTCATTGAGTGACTGTCACGTACATGTACATAACAGTACCTGCAAATCTGCATGTTGTTACACATGATCAACCTTGCGTTAATAGAAAATATACGACATTGCGCTAGTGAATAAAACCATGGGGTTTCGCTTTTACGCTTTATTTTTGTTCCACGAGCAGCAGAACAATAGCAAGCTTATATTACAGGATATGGAGATATGAAAGTTGGACTCGATCACGTCAAGCAAATTGTGAAATGTTCACATTATGCTTCCTGATACGGGATATCCTTTAAAGTACATGTGAAAGTACTTGGATGTTAGACAATTACCAACCAATTTCTATATTTGTCTTAGCAAAACACAAGCTCGCACTTCAGGATACTGAGATATAAAACTTGGATTTGTTCCAATTGCGAAATATTTTCATATATGAATGTCTATACAGGACATCCTTTCATCATTCATGGAGCATGAACTTTCTCGGATGTCAGACGTGTATCAGCCATTATAAACTACATTTGCCCAGACAATTTGACTCCAAGTGCATTCTACATGCTAGTGTTAGCTAAGAATTAACTTGGGTCAGGTATTCCTGTTGTTTGGTGTCCAGTTCCAACTCCACTTCAAATTGTTTGTCCACAGTTGCAGGACAGGATGCCGTCAACAAACACACGGACAAGGCACTCGTCTCTTGTTGGTATCACAGCGGATATGAGCGCTCCTTCCATGCGACAAAGGAGGATCTCTCTTGACGAGATTGATCCTCCTACATTTGCTTCTCCTAAAGCCGAGAGCATCTTGTCAACGTCCGATGAGCATGCTCGGCCGAACCCGCCCACCCTCAAGCGGCACCAGTCAGAATCAGCTCGCACCATGCTTCTGTCGGTGCTGAGTAACACCGGTGCCGACGGACAGGTCCGACAAAACTCAGACCAGCTCCCTAAAACTGTCAATGATCCGCTGATGAATATGGAATTCCCCACGAATGACAGCGCAACTTCCCCTCCACGGAGGAAAGTCTTGAGGAGGGCGAAAACAACCAGCGATTTACTTGCTCCGACTTTTGCGTCTCAAAACAAAGAGCCGAAGCTGCCTTTTGAGTACAGCTCCTCTCCCCAAGCCGAGAAGCTTCTAGATAGCCTGGGAAGCAGTCCTCTGGAATCCTTACACGAGGAAGACATTACTGAGGAAACTTGTGAGTGCAATACCAAGGTTACCTCAAGTAGAGACTCAATGGTTCAGAAGACTGTTACCTCAGAAAAGACAAAGACCGCAGACGTAGAGGATGAAACTCGCTGCAGTGTATGCGGGAAGACCAGGCAAAGTGAGCCGAGTAGCGTGAGTAAACTCTTGAGTAGGACCTTGTCAAGCATGAGTCCTCCACGAGCGAAGAGCAGCACATACACTAAATCCAAACCGTTGAGAAACTCACAGACCAGCTTGAGTGTTGCTGAACATGTCGCCAAGAAAAAGAAAATCTTAACTCACTCACGGTCAAAGTCGGACCATGCAATCAAGCCACCACTAGCCTACATGGCAGAAGCATCTGCGGGTATCAAATCGGCAGATAATACCAGCAACTCCTTGCCAGCAGAAAGCCACATAGTTTCACCGCGCAAGAACAGCTTGTTGAATTCAGGTATGAGTTTCAAAATAGATCCAAATTATATAACACAATTTGAAACAAACTATGTAGTTTGTCTAGTTGAAGTGGTAGAAAGCTTAAGGGATATCAAATGCAACTTGGTAGAAGTAAATCTTAAACCCTGTCTGCTGTACATGACAGTCTTGGCCTTTTTTTCCAGTGATTTGATAACGCTGTAATACAGTACCCAATTTGTGTTATTGACAGGTGCTATTTCGCCAGCCACAGAGTGCTACTTCCCCCAGCCAGCCCAGGGTCAGTCTCTCATGAGCTTCCTCTCATCCAGAGACTTTGAACGAATCCCAGAGTTAGACAGGGTAGGTTGTAGCTTACATGTACGTCTCTTTCATTAAGCATTATCAAGCATAATCAAGGCTTAGATTTAAGAACAGGTGAGCATAAACAACACAAGGTCCGGCCCAAGACCTTGACACAGTGTGTCCTCCGCAATCAGCAACACACTTTTGCGATGCATGCATGTAGCCTCAATCCTGCAAATTCATCCAATTTGCAAAGAGCATTTGAGGATTTGGGATGGTTATGGTTAATGCTGTCAAAAGGGCTACTTGAACAAAAACACCTTCAGGTTTTGGACATTTTGAGTCGTTTGAAAATTGGAATTGGTGTTAAACATTTGTTTTAGATTTTTGTTCCAGTTTTAATCGCAGTATCCACTTACCCAATTTCTTACCTTATTTCAGGAAAATGCTCACTTCAGTATATCAGAAGCCATCATCGCGGCCGTTGAACAGATCCGATGCAAGCAGCAACTCACGTCAGTATCCGATCACGAGTCAGACGCCTCAGATGAGGAGATCCAGCACCTCAAGCAGCGCATCCGGCTGCGACGTAACGAGAAGCGGAGGGACAAACTCCGGGGCGGTTTCCGTCAACTAGCCACGCTGGTCGGCGAAAACAGGAGCGACAGTGGGCTCAACACCTTGACCAGTTCAGGTAGGATTTGGTTGACCAAATTATTACCAATATTTTTGTTTACCTTTGACTGATCCTGACGGGGGAATTCTTGAAGATGATTTCACCATTACTGGAGTTTGTTGTTTTTGGTAGGGTGAAGTTAAATCTGTATTGACCCACCCAACCAAAATTTCTTAAACCTCCCAAACAAAATTAATTTTGATAATTCATTTCTTTTCTTTTCTTTTCCTTTTGTTCAATACCAGCAAGTACCCTTGCTTCAAGTAGCACAAACAGCACACCGCAAGATACGGCCACAGAAAGCGAAGAAGGTAATTGACAATTATACCACTCTAATTTGGGGTCCAATTTTTTGTGTGTCCTAGTTACATCTGCTATGAGATTTTGTAAGTTCAAGACACATTCTTTAATTTCTTCAGCAATGACATATAGTTTGAAGTAAATTTTAATGATTCTCGTTTGGCAAATTACACAGGCCAGGTATAACAGGGACACACAAAAATGTCAAACTTTTGGACCCCAAATTTATTGACCGACCCAATACAATGTTATGAGTTGTAAATATATGTAGATTTATTGAAACTTCTTTGCTCTCCGATTCTTCATCTTTATTGTAGATTCATCTGATTCAGATTCGGTGGAAGATCTCGATCTAGCCGACCCCAACCATTCCAACCTGCAGTCCCTACAAGCCATGGGATTGAGCGCGTCGCTTGCATCACTCTACTCAGGTCAGTTAAGCAGGTCGAAGGTCAAAGTTCAAGTGTAAGGAAAAGATGCTCAATATCCATTAAAAAAACCTTTGTCATGTGTACATGTACATGTACATATCTAAGTGTTAGCATTTTTAGGAAGTACATAAGGTATATTTTTCTTCCGGCTGTGGTTGTTTCAGGTCAAAGTTCAAGTGTAGTGAAGAGATACACAATCTCCATTAAAAAAAAACGTTTGTTCTGTGCATATCTCAAGTGTAAGGAAAAGATACTCAATATCCACTCAAAAAAGCCCTTTGTCATGTACACGTACATGTACATATCTAAGTGTTTAGCATTTTTGAAGAAAGTACATTTGTTTTATGGGTTTTTTTCCGGATGTGGTTCTTTCAGGTTACAGAGTATTGCACTTTGACACTTGTTATATCTTTTAATTGCCTTTCAGTTTGAAAAAATCCGTGACAATGTCAATATCATCATATCTGAAGTGTGTGATAGTGACTGATGTATTTTATGATATGTACCTTATATTTGTTTTGTTGTTTTTTTGTCGTTTTTGTTTGTGTTGTGTTTGGTGCACTTTGGCACTGATTCTCTTTTGTGCCTAAAAAATTACTAGCTTGTTGTTTACAATTCCTGCGGTAAAAACAAATCAAGAGTCAGTTTTCAAACTTTATGGTTTTATCTTTTTAACTGAACATTTATCTCAGGTTGTTAAATATGTTACGTATTTTTAAGCAAACTGCTGCATTTCTTCTAAGGGAAGATAATATCATTTGTCAGTTGTGCATGTTTTTCGTTTGTAGCAACGAAAGTGCTCAAAATCTAAAGAAGGGTGCTGAACAACTAACCTGATGAACTTTTAGCTCAGTGAATGCTGTATAATGCTGAGGAAACAGTATTCTAGGATCTCAATTTCAATTCAGAAGTTGCCGAGTCATGTTTTGAATTGCACCCGAAATCAGCGTCCGGGACACTTTCTCATTCAGCTGATTGCAGTTACGCGATGTCACGCACTGAACCGACGAATTATAGCAACCGCGCACGTGTGCGTCGTGTCAAAGCTTGCGCACACCATTTCACGGATTTGCCGAATTAAAAACGAACTACTAACGGAAATTTCAAAAGATAGGTCTTTAGACTCATCTTTGGAAATGACCCTCTTTAATTGTTTTGTTTTTCAAAATAACAGCATGCCAGAAAGAGTAATTTTACAGGGAGTTAAGTGCCATTACTATTTTTAAACCAAGTTTGCTTTTGTACAATAATTCCGTCAGTTACTTTTTTAATTTCGTCAGTTACTTTTTTACTAGCTGCAAATGATATACTGTAGCTTTAAAAATGTGCATGAATGTTTCAACCACAGATGCTGACATAGGAAGAGTAACATCCCCGTCAGCAATATCGAATGAATTTTCACCAACATTAAACAGCAACACGCTGTCGGCCGAGTCTGTCGCCCTCTGTCTGCTCAGCAAGTTCCCAGCCAAGCACCTGCCAGCCGCCTCTGAGCTGCAGTGGCTGGTGTCGGAGCAGGACGCTCCTCAGGCAGTGAGTAGATGAAGATATCACAACGTCAACAAATGTCATTCATCAACGAGCACATCTAAAATCACAACTATAGTTATAAGCACAATCACGACCAAAATCACAACCTCAACAAAAATAACAGTAGCATTCAAAATTATAACCACAACCAAAATCACAATAACAGCCAGAATTATAACCACAACCAAACTCACAACCACAACGAAAATAACAGTCTCAACCAAAATTATAACCACAACCAAAATCACAACAACAGCCAGAATTATAACCACAACCAAAATCACAACCACAGCCAGAATTATAACCACAACCAAAATCACAACCACAGCCAGAATTATAACCACAACCAAAATCACAATAACAGCCAGAATTATAAACACAACCAAACTCACAACCACAACAGAAATAACAGCCTCAACCAAAATTATAACCACAACCAAAATCACAATAACAGCCAGAATTATAACCACAACCAAACTCACAACCAAAACGAAAATAACAGTCTCAACCAAAATTATAACCACAACCAAAATCACAACCACAGCCAGAATTATAACCACAACCAAACTCACAACCACAACGAAAATAACAGTCTCAACCAAAATTATAACCACAACAGAATCACAATAACAGCCAGAATTATAACCACAACCAAAATCACAATTACTACCAGAATTATTACCACAACCAAAATCACAATTACTACCAGAATTTTTACCACAACCAAAATCACAAACACAAGGAAAATAACAGTTGCAAAAGTATAGCCACAACTAAAGTCACAATTACAACCAAAATCAAAACTACAACAAAATCGACACCTCAGCCAAATCACAACCTCAACCAAAATCAAAATTACAACCAAAATCACAAACACAACCAAAATCACAACCACAACCAAAAACACAATGTACCACAACAACAATTGCAACCAAAATTATAATAATAACCAAAATCACAACCACAGATAAAATCACAATCACAACCACAGTTAAAACCACAACCACGATCAAAACCGCATTTGGTATTCCAGCACTCAAACATGCTTTGACGTCACACCATAACTTCCATAATCCTAATGGTTTATCTTATGAAATTCTGTATCAATTTATAAACTTTTTTTTTTACAGCTCCTACCAATGCCCAAATCCTTACCAGTATCTCCAGATGATGGTGAAAACGCTGACATCTACACAAAGAAAAGTGTGAGTCCTTTGACAAAGTTTCTAGGAAGTTGAATGGTGAACTGTCGCCTTAACAAACGTACAGATGGTCATTTCTTTTATTAGATTGTGTCACAACTGTTAGTAGAAGGATAGTTGCTAAGAGGAATTGATGTCCATCACCTTACCTGATCCTTTTTGGATCATCTTTGTAGATCAAATTGTCTTCCAAATATGGCAGTCAGTCCTTGGTAGACCAGGTAAATTGAAAGTTTTAACATTGCGACGCTCACAGCATTGGTAGTTAGTGCATTACATGTAGATGCCCAAGGAATGCTTTATAGACCCTTTGCAATTAGCAGCCATGTTTGAGGTGCACACGAGGCCTACCTGTGTATATTGCTATGGACCAAACGCGTGCACCTCAAACATGGCCGCTAATGTAACAGATCTATTCATGGTAATTTGGCTCATTGGTGCATACTGCTGCAACTTTGCATTAACAGCTTCCATTTTGGGCTAAAAAAAACATGCATTAGGATAAGTGGAGTATTAACTTGCCTGATGCAGGCAAAATTAACAATGTAGCTGAAGAAATGCCAAAAGAAGCAAACTTTCTTAAGGCTGTAGAGGTCCTTCTAAAGGTTTACCAGTATATGTCATCAGTCTATGCCTTTGCTTTGGAAAGAGGAAAGGTCATCACCTTTTGCATGGCAGTTCATTAGGTGCTCAATTGTCCATTTAATATCATGCATCATTAGCCATTACTGTAAAAAAAAAAAAAATGGTGGTTTTTTCCAAACAAAAACTTGCTGTTGGTTTAAAAAACTTATCTTCTATATTGAAAAAAAAATGTTTGTTTTTGATTGATTGCTATTTTCAATTCTTGCAATGCTATGTCTTTTGCAATATTTTGAAAAAATGCTGTGATGCTTTGATTTTTTACTATTTTGAAGTTTATTGGATTTAATTCTCAACTTCAATTTTTCGGTTCTCTTTCTGTTGTGATTTTTAGACACGATTACGTGGCAATGCTGATTGGGCGCCACCTAGAGCCCAGATCATATTCAATGCTCACCCACCTCCAAAGTAAGTACAAGGACCGAGGACTCTTTGTGCTACTCTAATATGTCAACGCCCCCTCCACCCCCCCCCCCCCCCCCCCCATGATGATATTTGCTAGGAACCCACCGGAACCCACAAACGCCCTCCACCCCCATAATGATTTTTGCTAGGAACCTACCCAAACCCACAAACCCCCTCCACCCCCATGATGATTTTTGCTAGGAACCTACCCGAACCCACAAACCCCCTCCACCCATGATGATTTTTGCTAGGAACCTACTCGAACCCACAAACCCCCCTCCACCACCATGATGATTTTTGCTAGGAACCTACCCCAACCCACAAACCCATATTCCGCAGTCCCACATTCTTTATACTTAAAACAAAACAAACAAAATTAAATTAAGCCCTTCAAAAGTAAATTGCTCAACGGTCCAGAATCCCTTAAGTTTAGTACAAAAGGCAAAACCCCGATTTTACCTGTAGCCTGTCGGTATTTTCACATCTATTTTTTGTTCATTTTATTTATTGCAGGAGAAAAGTACTGGTTGCAAAGCAGAACTATCGCTGCGCTGGATGCGGCATGAGAATAGAAAGAGGTACGATGTACCTTCCGATTTCTTGAAATGCTAGACTTGTCTTTGTACCAAATTTACTAGAAGGTTGTGCATCAAATGCTTCAATTAGTGTAAAATTTTTCAACCTGATTATGTTAATTGACTTTTGGTTCAAATGCATCATAACAGTTTCCTTTACTTTCGATAGGTTCTGTGAAGAGGTTAAGATACTGTGAGTATCTGGGCAAATACTTTTGTCACTGTTGTCATAGCAACTGCTCCGCTGCCATCCCGGGTCGCATTCTAAGGAAGTGGGACTTCCAGAAGGTCCCCATCTGTAACTTCTCCCGTGAGCTCCTTGAGAAGATGCACGAGGACCCGCTGTTTAACATCTTGGATATAAATCCGTCACTCTACAGGAAAGTTAAGCATCTCAACACGTGCAAAGTAAGTCGGGCGTTCATTTCACTGACCAAAAACACTGCAAGTTAACTTTCCTCATTTTGAAACTAGTGTGAAGTTGGGATATAAAATCACATTGGGATCGGCATTTTTGATTTGTCATAGTCTATTCAAAACATGGGTCTATGTTGTGTTTTTAATGTGTTCACTGATATTTTTTTTTTCTCAGGAATTGAGAACGCAGCTTTTCTTCTTGAAGGACTTCTTAAAGACATGTCGACTGAGCCAAAGGTACAAGGCAATATTATTGTTCAAATTTTTTTTTTTTTATTCATTTCGAACAACATCCAACAGCGCAAGAACCAGAAACGAAAGGATAAAATGTTAATTTACAATAAAAATTTACGATGAAAATAAACTCAAAACATATAAAAAACACTTGCCAAAAAAAAATGAAAAGATTTAGACATCAAAACATTAAAAAGCGCAAAAAATATGGATCAGGCTCACTTTGGGCCCAACTCTTCAATCCTTGACAGTAGACTCACATTAAATGGGAGAGGTGGACGTCTGTCAAGATTGCCTGACAGAAGATTTGAAACTCAAAAAAGACTGGATAAAAATATCGATGCTAGGATTGGTGTGAGAAATGGAGTTGTATAATGAAGTCAACCCTTTTTTGAAGCACTGACCCTGTCACACGAAACATGGAACACATCGGGAAATGCAATGAAATTGAGCTAAACGTTTCAATTTGAGTGATCCTGAGTAGCAGAAATGCGTATTAAGTCTTTCATGATCATATTTCTTGAGCCACATATTTTATCTGATTTTGTGCAATGTGACGCTAATATTTTTCTGTGACTCTCATATTGATGATTGTCCGTGAGTCAAGGTCATGTGTTTACTCTCATTATTTCAAAGTAACTCTTATTGGTGGAAACAATTTCTTATTTCCCTTCACTACCCACTGAGCAACATTCTCTTGAGTATCTTTTCTCCCATCAGTAATTGATCCTAATCATTGAACTTCAGGTGACTCAGTTTTTTTCTGATTCAAAACAGTCTCCAGGCAACCTATGAGTCTCAGCCTCACCACCTACTCAACGAGCCGCACCTGTACTCACTGAGCGACATCTTTCGAGTCCGCAGCGGCGAGATGGAGTTGGAACTGACACAGCTGGTGGAAGATGCAGTCGCTCACGTCAATCAGTGTCAGGTAAGCATCACGGTTACCCTGATGAGGATACTCATTACTCCATACCTATTACTCACTACCTGATACTCTCAAAGACCAAAGACAAGTTCTTTTAGAACTTAAAGCAGGACTGTTCTTATCAGAACTAAAATTACACAGCGAAAGTTGATAATAAGCAGGACAAGTTCTTTTCAGAACTAAGTATCTACTAAGCAGAAGTCATTACCACATGGTGTTACTGCAAACCGAAACGATATTCATATTCATTACTCGTCATTACTCAGTACTGCATACTCAATACTTATAACAATGGGAAACTTTTGAGACACTTAGATGCAGCAAATACAACAATCCTGTTGAATTGTTTACGAGTTTCAGCTGATGTGCGCATGTTCAAAAAGTCGTTAACAATCGAACAGGACCATTGTATTTGCGGCTACCAAGCATCTCAAAAGATTTCCCATTATTGATTTACGTTTGATTTTTTTTTAAACTCCTGAATTTTGCTTGAGTGCAAGTATACTGCCTTGTTTGTGTTAACAGTTGTGTCAAGCCAAGGGATTCATTTGTGAAGTTTGCAACAACGACCAGGACATCATCTTTCCTTTCCAGCTGCAGAAAACCTACCAGTGTCAAGGTCAGTTTAGGTCAAAGGTCAAAGTTTAACCAGAAAGTTTCAGTTTTGAACTCCTTGAAATTCATTTTTCATTGTAAAATTCTTATGGAAACTTTTTGAGTCAAAGGTCAAAGTTCAGCCAGGAAGTCTCAGTTTTGAACAAATTGAAATTCATTTTTCATTGTAGAATTGTTATTGAAACTTATTTTCTGGCTTTGTCATTCTGTATAAATTTTTAAGCAGTTCCTTGAAATTGCCCAAGGATATCTTGACTTTCTTGTTTATTAACTGCACCAGCGTGATTGTTTTGCAGGTTGCTGGGCATGTTATCACAAGGCCTGCTTTCTGACTGTTGACGCTTGCCCTAAGTGTGTTCGGAAAACTGCAAGGTAGGATTTTCTTTTTTAAGCTTTCGAATACGAATCAAAACTGGGTTGCAATTTTTAAATTCAGCACCCTACTGTCATGTGTGTGTTTCCTATTGCGGTTCAGAACAAGCAAATACCAGGGTTTTTCTCTGATTCTCTGGTTTTCTCCCTCCATGAAAATTGACTTCCTGTTATGACATGGATCGAATGGCAGCTGCCTAAGGCACTTTTACATGCCTTCAGTTTGACCACACAATAGCTGTGTCCTTCGCGATTAAGCTTCTGCTGCCCCAAATTTATTTTTTTCTTAAATGCATTGTCCCCATATTAAGAAATCTTTTTTTGTAGTCACGTGTGTATTTATTTGGTATACGTGTTCATGTATAATTGTTGTCGTAAGAGTTTTTGGTGCTGTTGGCCTATGTTTGCTTTTTGTGTGCATGCACAAAAAAATGAACCATTTGGTTTACGGCACAGCGTTTGGTTTGAGCAGATTTAGAGAGGTTTCTCGTAAAAACTGTCCTGGTTAGGGGTGTCATGAAAAATGACCAAGAAAACTGTTGGTTGTTTATCTTACAGAAAGATCAGCCAAAACTCAAACCCGAAAGGTTTCTTAAGTGACGAGGAGGAGTCTGAACCAGCTAGTATTAAGAGGTGACATCCTGTAAGTCATAGGCGATTAGGCTGAAGTTTGAGGCATTTTCAGGGACGTGGGATGAGGTTCTCAAAGAGAAGGAGACAGAATAAGGAAAGCACCTCCTCTTAGACGGTGAATTATACGAGCAGGTTGAACCAGTGGTTGATAAGTGGTTGATTCGGTACTCTCGCCTTTGCACTAATGGGAACATGCAAATCGAATGAATTTTGCTCTGATCGTCGTACTGGAATTAAAACAGTTTATCCAAAACATGAGATTGACACGAGAGGTCCGCTTGCGAAGTAACTTATAAGAAAATCGGTGGAAGGGTGGCATTAATGACACCTCATCGACAGACTTGTCCAAGTCGAGAGAGAAATCAGATTCATTTCCATATATATTTTGTGCTGATTGCTGATGTAGCTTAATTTATTGTGGTTATACATTCTAAATATATATTTGTCTCATTTCTTTTTCAACCAGTTGAAATGCAGAACTCAGTAAAGTTTCCTAATTTGCTTTTGCGTGACCATATAATTGCATTTTGTGACCTGACTGGCGATGAGCAATATTTTTTTCTGAAAAATGGGTATTAAATGTTAAACCATATCAGTAATGGCAATAAAAGTAGTTCCACTTGCAGTGAAGCATTTAAACATGTAAACTTAACTAAAAATCAGTCAACTCAATAAAAGTACTTTAAATACACATGTTACAATATATTTTCACAAGTTCAGGTGTTACATAAACACTTTATTATTATACTTTTATAACCAGTAATAGTTAAAAGCCAGTAATTTTTAATACCCTTAAGGAGACATTTTTGTCGTAAGTAATACCTTTAGGAGACACTGGACATTAAGGAGCCATTTCAATGTCTCCCTAATGTCACAACTCCTATTTAGGGGCAACATTTTATTGTCACAAATAGGCTAAATCGATTGCTTGTGTTTCAAAACGTAAATATAGCAGAATTCGTGGGGTAGGAAAAGGGAAAATTGGAATTAGGGGTCATTGAAGATGGAACATTTTTGTGCTCAACCCTATGGCAGAGATGCCAACCATTACTCTTTTGGAGCAATTATTAGGATTTTGAGGCATGTTACTACTCTTGAAAATTCCAGCTGTCCTATACGCCAACATTGTGGCTACTCTGAAAAGTACTGTGGTTACTCTTAAACTTGACTGTTGTCCTATGTATTTACATTAGCATTACTCTTTGCAGGAAGAATCATTACTATTTTTTAGTCTGTAAAGTTGGCATCTCTGCTATGGGAATGCCCCCCTAAGGTACCATTCCCTGTAATAACTATAACGACAATGGTAATTTCCCGATTGATATCTTTGGGTTCTTTCACATGTTAAAACTTATAAAAACACTTTGTGATTTAGGGATACTAAACACGGACTTCGGGGAATAGTTAAAGGGTTTCAGTTCTATTATAACCAAAAGCATCCTTGTACTGAGATAAATCTTGCCCGGTGCTAGTGGTTATAACCAACTTCAAGATTAACAACGTGAACCTTTGTTTTAACAAGCCTTTATAGTATTTGTACAACTCGTATTTAATTGAACTGAATGGAAATAATTATCTAATTAATTTAATTTGATCCGATAGTAATATATATAACAAACACTTGTACTTTGAAATCCCTAATTACTTAAGTTTTGATTAATCGAAAAACAAGTGCATGTGTGAGTTGTGCTTTAACATGAAATGATTTATTACAACTGTCCATTAAATTATTATTTGTATGTATCATACATCACTCACTTTGTCTGTGTTGAATATAACACTCCAATACAGTCTGGTACTGCCGATATAGTGTTTGGTTGTATTTGGAGTCTGGTTCCCAAAAGCCTTCTTAACGACAAAGACGTCACGTTTTGGGAGGGATCTATGACTAGTATGAGCGTCTCAAGATGTGACTAACCCCAACCCTTCGTTCCGCACCTCCTCCCTCTTTTCCCTGCCCCGCTTTTCGAATCTTCCAGGGGGGAAAAAGTGGATGCACCCCCTCCCCCCTCCCCTCTAAAAAAAAAAATACTGCAGCCTTCCGAAGTGGACAAGTAATAAAGAGAAACCCTTCACTGGTCAATCAACTATATGGGGCACAATAATACAATTAAGTTTACCACGCGCGCTTCATTTGTATTAATGGATTGTCAATGCCGCGTTTTCCCGGCTTTTTGTTGATTTTAAGCTAACCGACAGGAAATGAAGACGCTGTAGATGAAGCGATCAAGGACATGCATCTCTCAAGCATGCAATCAAGAGGTTTACTGGTACGGTGGGAGGGTGGTTGAACACGGAGAGAGGAAAACATTTAAAAACCCTACTATGACGGAAGAGCATCTCAAGAGTCTTGTAAACACGCATTAAGTCTTATTACGCATAGATCATAATCAACTGCAGATGAAGTAGGTGACAAAATAGCATCGGTTTCACTAAATATTATGCTTGGGGATAAGGGGGGGACTTTAAACGGCAGTCCATTTCATACAGTTCGGAGACATTTACGTTTTGCACAAAATATAATAATGTAGAAAAAAAACAGACAAATATATTGGCCTCAATTCTGTACCAGAAAACGCATTACAGAATAGTGCTGACTCCCACGACGGAAAAAAAATCGTAACCCGGCCCCAATAACCACGAAACCTTTGATAATGTGACTAATCAGACACATTACGTCACCGGTTTCACGAAGGGAAGGACATGTGGATTTTGAAGAAAAACCGTTTTCGAGATATTTGCAAGAGAAGTTTCCCCGTTTTTAAAACTGCAAAAACTACTACTTTGCAACAACTTTATGCAATATGGAAATCTTGACGTTATTATTTGATAGGTAAACTTTAACTTGTGGTCAATTAGCCAAAATTTATTAGTAAAGATGCCCGCCCCTTCGTGAAAACGAAAATCCCATTTGTCCACATTTTATTACGCACTTCTTGTTCAATGTGTCTTTCCATAGGTAAGGGGCGTACGTGATTACGCGCGCGCAGCCTGAGAATGTTACAAAGATGCCCGTCCCTTCATGAAAACGAAAATCTCTGTTGACCTACTTTTCGCCTCTTCGTGCAATACGTTTTGTACGTGTTCAAGGGGCAGGCACGTTCGCGTCTCCTCGTGAAAACGCAAAATGCAATTATCGAGATGCCTGCCCCTGGCGTCATTAATGTTATTCCGGAGTTAATAATGTTTTGCTTACGGAAACAGTCATGTCAGAATGCTTAAGTACCATGTTTTAAAGCAAAATAGTGAAGAAAAAATTCGAAATCGAAAAAGTTGTCAAAATTATTTTGACATGCCCGTCCCTTCGTGAAAACGGTGACGAAGTATAAAGTATATCAGAAATTAATGAATGCAAAAAGTCGGCATCTTTCTTCGGATCCACGCCAAGGTCATAAGTGCATTTGCCTTGATGGATGACTGAAATTCGATGGGACTTCGACGGTATAATATTCTGATTAAAAACCTCAAAACGGCCCTTTCTTACTAATGCAGAGAGCAGTCCTTTGTATCGGGGATCCTTAACTTCATCTAGCTTTGCTTTTTGTGGCTAATAAAGGACTCGCAAAATTAGGTCCTCTACAATTTTGAGCAATTTAAGATAACCAAGGTAAAGCTAATTTCATATAGGACTTGACGTTCTTAATGCATATAGGTAATGGGGGGCATAGGCCTAGTGTAATCAGGTTAGCATAGTGAAACTTAGTTCGGCGTGAATGGTTTTAATTTAGAAATGGAAAGGGGGATTTGATAAAAAGTGATTGTGTCTTGTGTAGACCAACCATTCTGGGTTGTGCAACGGCTATATGAAGATGGCCGGCTGGGGAGAACTCGGCACTCAGGATTTTTCAGAGTATCGTAGGACTCGTAGGAATCTGCGGTAATGGTTTGGTGTGCGTTGTCATCGCTAAGGTTCGCTTCATGCACACCCTGACCAACGCCTTCATTTTCAACCAAACTGACATATGATTTAATAAAAAATATACCGTGGAATTTTCGATGAATGAATGGGGTAAAAGGCAGTTGCCCATAAAAAGCAGCTCTTTTCCGCGCAGTTTGCTCAGATCGAGTAGGCTACGCTACAGACATGGCTGAAGAAAACTTGGCACTTCGGGTTTTTCAGACCTTCGTTGGGCTCGTAGGAATCTGCGGCAATGGTTTGGTGTGCGTGGTCATCGCTAAGGTTCGCTTCATGCACACCCTGACCAACGCCTTCATCTTCAACCAAGCCCTGATCGATCTCCTCGGGTCGTTGCTCGTTTTGCTGAGCAGTCTCGTACCGATTCCTGACCCGCTACCGCCAGGTGCGAGCGGAGTGCTGCTTTGTAGGCTGTGGATTTCAAAATATTTCAACTGGGTCATGTTCACAGCGTCTACTTTTAACCTGGTCGCGTTGACCCTGGAGAGGTACCTAGCCATTGTGTTTCCCTTCAGGTACCAAGTGTTGGGTACTCGTAAGAATGCCATAGTCACAATATTAATTGTTTGGGTGTCGGCATTCCTTTTCATCAGTTATGGAATTTTCATTCGCTACTACGAAGCCGGTCAGTGCAAGCAGAAGTTAGTGGCCCATCCGCAAGCTCTTGGCGTGGCTGTCTTCATGGTGACATACCTTCTACCTGTCATCGTCATGATAGTTGCCTATGTCCACATCGCAGTGGTCCTCAAGAAGGGAGCGGCGAGAATCCAGCCCGGACCGGAGGCTGCCGGTCCGTCTACCGGCCAAGCTCCCGAGGGCCCGGGGGAGTCGCTGATGCGTGCTCGCCGTAACACCTTCAAGACCCTCCTGACCGTCTGCGTGGCGTTCACTGTTTGCTGGACGCCCAACGAGGTCATCTTCTTCCTCTTCAACCTTGGCGTGGAAGTGGACTTTACCTCCTTCGTCTACATCGTGTCGGTTGCATTTGTTGCCTCAAACAGCTGCCTGAACCCGTTCCTGTATGCCATCAAGTACAAGCAGTTCCGAAAGGCTCTGAAAACGCTCTTGGGTAGGCAGATTACGATTGCTGACGATTTGCCACCGCCAACAGTGAGTACTGGTCATGCATGACCAAAGCAAAACTCTAAATGCATAAGTATTGTGAAAGATTGAGGATACAGACGAACGCTTGTGCTGTTTAAAAACTATAGTATAGGCCCTAATGGCACTTAACGAATATACTTGTATTTAACCTCCACATAAAGCAAGATTTTTAGACGGAATCTTCTGTATCAGGTATTAAGAACAAAAATCACCTTTATACAGTACTGCGTTGATCATTGTAATTAGGCGAAGTAAAAAAAATCCATGTTTCTCGTCCCCGCCCGCTTCCTTTTTGGAGACCGCCTGGATTTTTTTATTACATTTTATTTTTGAAAAATGTAGTAAAAAAACACCGGAAAAGTCCACAAATTCATCGGAAAATAAATTGTAGACCAATACAAGTCTAAATGACACTGTAAATATGTTCAGTTCTCTTGTCCAACTTATCTTTCATTTGAAAAGTGTCTTTGAACAGTGGAAACACCAACGGTTGTAGGAAATTTTTAAATGGCGGCCATCTTGAAACAAATAAAAAATAAAAAGCACCGCTTCCTCCTTTTTTTCAAAAACCCGGACGAGAAACATGGGGTTTTTTTATTCGGCCTTACACATCAACGGTCTCCCAAATCTGCAGTGTGTATCTTTGGGGAAATTCTATTGTACCTCCACATTTTATAACCTCAAAATTCAGTCAATTCACCTGTTTTTATTCTAGAAACGGTAATAATAATGATAGTAAACAAAAGCAGCATTAGAAACG